CCCCCCCCCCCCCCCCCCCCGTGGGCACCTCTGCCCTCCCCCCACCCCCACTTTGAGCCCCACCTGCAGCCCGGGGGTGTTATGAGCGGAAGCTTCTACAAGCAGGTGGAATCCGGTCCCCATTTCACAGCTTGGACGTTGAGGCCCAGAGAGGGCCCCCCCCACCCTCTCAGGGGTCGGGGCGGAGCCTCGAGCCGGCCCCTCCCCTTTCTCCCCTCACAGACCGTGAAGCGTCCCCGGAAAATCCAGCTGCCTGCCAAGGCCAGCCCCTCTGGGGGACATCAGGTCTCGGATGGGGAGGCTGACCACGGCCAGGGCTACGACGGGGACACATCCAGCGGGTCTGGCCGCTCCTGGGGCGAGCGCTCCCGCCGGCAGAGGACGGGCCGCCGGAGCCGGGCCGGCAGCCACGGGCGCAGGAGCCCAGGCGGCAGGTCTGAGGCCAACGGGCTGGCCCTGGTGTCGGGCTTTAAGCGGCTGCCGCGGCAGGACGTGCAGATGAGGCCCGTGAAGTCCGTGTTGGTGCGGAGGAGGGACAGCGAAGGTGAGGTCGGCGGGTCGGCGGCAGTGGGGCTCCCCGTTCCCGCCAAGGGGCGCCGTGGCCGCGCTGACCCCTTGTCCCGTGTGTCCAGAGGCGTCCCCGTCCTGGTCCCTGGGACCTGGGACATGTGGCCTCGTGCGGCAGAGGGGCGCAGGCCCAGGCCCCTGAGGTGGGGGTGACCCTGGGTGTCCCGGGGGGCCCGGCGGCCTCGCGAGGTCCTCACGAGAAGGGGGCAGAGAGATGGGCAGACCCCGACCCGAGCTGCTGGCCGTGAGGATGAGGAGGGGCCGCGGGCCCAGGATGCGGGGCTTCTGGAAGCCGGGAAAGGGGGGAGCCAGGCCCTGGGGGAACCGGCCCTGCCCACGCCTGGGTGTTGGGACTTCTGAGCCCAGAACCATGAGATTGCAAACTGGTATTGTTTTCCGGCCCGGGAAACTCACACACTGTGGCATCCGTAGAAGCGTCACGATACTAGAATTCCCTCCGTAAGGCCAACGTGTGGCCTCTGACCCCATCTCAGTTCAGTAGCAGCACCCTGGCCTTAGAATTCTAAACATGATGTGACAAATGGCACTGGGACATCGGCCCCCTGCCTTGTAATTAAAAAAAAAAATTTTTTTAATGTGTATTTTTGAGAGAGAGAGAGAGAATGATGGAGCGTGAGTGGGGGAGGGGCGGAGAGAGGGGGACGCAGAATCCGAAGCAGCTCCAGGCTCCGAGCTGTC